TCGCTCGGCTGCGAAATCCGATGTATGGGTAAATGTCGCCAAGGAACCTGCAGAACAGCATCACGTGCTCGACGGTGCACGGTTGGCAAAACCGTCGACACGTGTTCTACCTGGCACATGCGCAATGTGCTTGGCGGCACAACCGTCTACCTGCACCTACTTAGTAGGTGCACACATGCGCAGAAAGTCACCTGCCTCTGCAGCGCTGGCAGACCACTACGGATAAGACTAGCATATTACTCTGATGTAGCGTCAGTGTACACTGGCCCGTTTCATCGTGATGGCGTTGACGTGGACCGTTGAAGACTCAGATGACTGCCAGCGAGGTAGTGCGACCCAGTACCTCCGCTTTGCACAATGCAGCTGCCTGTTGTCCAGTCAATTCGCGGGTTGTACCGTCGCAGCCAGCCACGTCCCAGTAAAATGTCGGTCTTATCCAGCATTGTCGCGAGCATTTCCGGTGTAAATCCGAACATCCCCCTCGCAATGAATCTTCACTCTCACCACTTTCTCCCTTATTCAGCCGAGCCCGATTGATCACGTGAATTGGTATAGTCACTCGGTGAGGGTCAGCGTGGCCGGGCGAGCAATGAGTCTCGTCAGTAGTGGGCCCGTACTCTAGTCACTGGTGGCGTTTCCCTGCCTTCCAGAATCCCTTTCCTGCTCTGCTCCTCTGCGCTTTAGCTCCTCTGGGCATTCGCTCTTGCAATGGCCCGGCTTGTTGCATGCAAAGCAGCGTCCCTTAAATGGCGAGATAGGTGCATTTGTTGCAACGACGTGAACCGTGGCGTGCTCGTTGTTCCCTGAGTACATTGTCCGTAGTGGTAGGACCTCGGCTCGGTCATCGTAAAATGTCTATTTTCTTTGTGAGCGCCAGGATTTCGTTGAAGTTTGAGATCCCGCATAGAAGAATTTCTTCAGCGATTTCCGACTTACTCTGCTTCGTATATGTAGCCAACCTGTTCACATAGCATGTGAAAACCACTGATGTAGTCTTGAACCGACCCAAGCTAATGCCATGTGCACAGCCTCTAGCATGCTGCGATGGAGGTTGCGATCAGCTAGACGGTATTGAGCGAATATGCAGAATGAACTCCAGGTTACAGCCAGCCCCAGGGGCCTCTCCCCTTACGTCAGTGGCTCATACCGCTCGTAGTCGCATGACCAGTTCATCTCGGGCCCGCGCCGCAAGGAGACGTCGTACCGAATCTTCGCTGCGCCTGACTTGACTTAGTTTGCAAAAAAAAAAAAAAAAAAAAAAAAAAAAAGGCGACGATGTCGTTGTAGGGTTGCGAAGCGATTTTTCATAAGAGCGTGTTACGTACCCGTCTTTTTGAGGGCTGGTCGGGTTGCCTCAAATGGTCAGGTCGGGTAGACCATTAGGGTTACCCGATTAACCGAGGCTCTACAGTGTACAGTGATGAACGTGCATACCAGAGCAATCTCACACTTGGTCGAGGCGACCAGGTGGCCTACCCAACCATATTGGACTTGCCCATTTCCAACCTGTCGAGGAGACCAGCCACGAACGTACCAACCTGCACCCCAACCCGTGGTACAGTGAACATTGCGGGCAGGTAACACATTGGTGGGAATGGTGTACGAAAACAAACATCAAAAGTTGGGTGGAGCGTATTGGTGAAGTCACTGTTGGGTCTGCCCTAATCATTATTCGCATGGTTGGGTCCAGAAAACAGGTGGGTGGTACATTCCCCAATTGCCTGCTGGGACCCAACCGCCTGCTGGGACCCAACCGCCCACCGGTCGACCCAATCAGTCAGGTTGGGTCAACTTTCACAGGCAACCGAGGCTTGCCACCAAAATAAGAGGTGCGTAACACGCTCTAAGTTACAATCTCAACTTTATAAAACTTGTAGAACATGAAACTCCACGACACTTCATTTTAGGTTGAGATTTGGTAAACGTGTCAACCGAAATGGCGACCTTTCGATTTCATGCTAACTTTAAAGCGACTGCGCTACGACATCTATTATGTAAATCTACATAATAGTTTGTATCATGAATCTTTGCGACGGAATTGGCAATGCCTTAGGATTTGTGTCTTCCTTCTTCCACTCTTTTCCTCTCACCAGTGAAGCTTGTGTCAAACATTATGCATGTTGTAGCTTTGTAGGCTACATTGCGCATATGCGCTACTATCCGGGGGGATACGGTAATAACCGTTTTATAGTTGCTGTTGCGGTTCGATACAATGACGACTCGGGCAACTGCTCAATAGCGAGTCAGTTGTTTGTCCTTGCTGTCGCACTGTACTTGTTAGGTCCAAGGTCGTTGACCTTTGACTTTCACGTAACCTCCAGCGGTTGCTTTTTCTTGTCAACCTCCGATGGTTGACTCGCTGTTGTTGCGCTGTAGTTCACCTCGATTACACTTTGATGTTTCGACACACAAGAAGCACTTAAGTCATTTGTTTCCAACACTCCCCTTCGCTTCTGGAGTGTCGCTGCTGGTGACGTGGCCTTGTCCAGTCAGCAGCATGCAGTACTCGAACTTCTGTTTTCCGAGCTTCTTGGTCAAGTAATCAGCAGCCATCTCGGATGTAGGACAGTAGGACAGCTCGAGTCTGCCCTTCTCGATCTCGTCCTGCACGAAGAAATATCGCAAAGCGATGTGTCAAACATTATGCATGTTGTAGCTTTGTAGGCTACAGTGGGTTTAGCCTTAGAGGGTACAGAACTCTAGGGTTTCATATTTGTACTCTCATTCCTGTTAGTCATTCTCATTCTCGTTCTATTCTTCACATGGTATAGAGCAGGTTCCCTCGTGGGAACTGTTCCTAGGGCCCACCGATCTTTTTTTCCTGCCCGGAGCGCGCTCCGCCCCTGCCCGAGTCGCGCTCCCCTCTTACTGCCCCTAGCGGCCCCGTCGCGCCGCCCTTGCGGCCCCGTCGCGCCGCCCTTGCGGCCCCGTCGCGTCGCCCTCGCGGCCCCTTCTCGCCGCCCTCGCGACCCCGGCGCCGCCTCTGCTGGCCCCGTCGCCCTACCCTCGCGACCCCGCGGCCCCACCCTCGCGGCCCCGCGACCCCACCGCCGCCCTTTGCGGCCCCGTCGCCCTTCGCACCGCCCGCGACCCCGTCGCCGCAGCCGCCCGTCGCCGCAGCCGCCTGCGACCCCGTCGCCGCAGCCGCCAGCGACCCAGTCGTCGCAGCCGCCCGCGACCCCGTCGTCGCAGCCGCCCGCGACCCCGTCGCCCCACCCGTGCGACCCCGGCGCCGCCCTACGCGGCCCGGTCGCCACCCTTCGTGGCCCCGCCGCCTCCTGTCAGCGGCCCTGCCGCCCTTCACGGCTCCGCCGCCATCACCGAGCAGCCGAGCCGCCGAGACGCCGGCGCCGCCGAGCCGACGCTGCCGCCGAGCAGCAGGCACCGCCGAGCCGCCGTTGCCGCCGAGCTGCCGAGCCGCCAAACGCCGTTGCCGCCGAGCTGCCGAGCCGCCGAGCCGCCGCTGCCGCCGAGCTGCCGAGCCGCTGAGCTGCCGAGCCGCTGAGCCGCCGAGCCGCCGAGCTGCCGAGCCGCCGAGCCGCCGTTACTGCCGTCGCGGCCCTGTTCCTGCCGGCGAGCCTCGGTCCCTCTAGCCTGCCCGGTAAGAGCAGCGCCTCCACCACTGCACTGCCCTTGCCTGCTGCTCGCACTGCTAGTCTACTGCTGTCATGGCTGCCCCTAGTGTCCTCACTTTTGATGCTGAGGGTCGGGCCATTGACTTTGACGTCTGGGTAGATGACCTGCAGCTTTTCCTGCTGAGCGATAGGGCAGACGGTCTCTCCCTCTTTGACCTCACTTCTGGTGCCTCTCCTGCACCTGCTGCTGATGCTGACCCCACTGTTCGCTCACAGTGGGCCACGCGCGATGCTGCTGCCCGCCTTGCTGTGCGCCGCCACTTGCCGACTGCTGAGCGTGCGCACTTTAGCCAGTACAAGAGTGCTAAGACCTTGTACGACGCTGTAGTTGCACGCTACTCTTCCCCTGCCACTGCTGCGCTTAGCCGCCTCATCCTACCGTACCTCTTCCCTGACCTCGCCGCTTTTCCCACTGTCGCTGACCTCATTACGCACCTTCGCACTAGTGACACTCGCTACCGCGCTGCGCTTCCTGCTGAGTTCTGCGCCAAGAACCCCCCCCCCATGTACATCACCCTCTACTACATAGTCACCCGGCTCCCTGACACCCTTCGCTCGGTCAGGGACCACTTCCTCTCTGTTTGCCCCACCACCCTCACCGTTGACCTCCTCGAGGAGCGCCTTCTAGCGGCAGAGAAGAGCATAGTCGCTGTAGGAGCCTCTCGTGGTGACCCTCGTACCCCTGTCTTTGAGGGGTGCTCCCCCTCTCCCCTCCTGCCCTCTGTTGCCTCTGCTGCTGCGGCCGACCTCGTTGGTCTTGAGTCGGTCGCTGCGGCGTCTGCCCCTAGCGGGAGACGCCGCCCTGGCAAGGGCAAGGGGGGCAAGGGTGCTGGAGGAGCTGGCGGGGGCGGTGGAGGCGGAGGTGGAGGTGGTGGAGGGGGTGGGGGTGGCGGTGGGGGTGGTGGCGGGGGTGGGGGCGTCGGTGGCGGCAGTGGAGGCGGAGGCGGAGGCGGCGGTGGCGGTGGGAGCGGAGGTGGCGGAGGTGGCGGTAGTGGAGGCGGTGGAGCCGGAGGAGGTGGAGCTGGTCGGGGTGGCGCTGCACAGAGGGTTGGCTCCGGTGGTGGTACGCGCCAGCAGCAGCAGCAGCAGCGTACTCGTGAGACCCCTTCCCCCCAGCAGCTTCGTGAGTGGTACACTGCTCGTCAGCGGGGCGGGGGTGCTGGCCCCTGTACCTACGTTCTCCGTACCGGCGACCGCGCGGGTGAGCAGTGTGGGGGGGCGCACTCCACCCAGCGCTGCTTTGGCCATCTGACGGACGCGTGGCGTCACCAGTTCCCCGACGCTACTGAGATCCCTCGCTGGGGCGAGCTGTCTAGGGCGGGTGTTGCGATCTTTGATCTTGATTATGATGCTATTCTTGCTGCCATGTATGCTGTGACTATTAGTGATGAGGGTGACTGTTACCGGTGTTTTCCGCCTGACCCAGGCATAGAGGCTGCTGCGCTAGGTGCTTGTGAGGCTGCTGCTCTAGGTGCCAGTGCGTCTGCCGCCCCAGGTGCCGGTGAGTCTGCGCTCTCAGGTACTGCGTCGTCTCCTGCCACCCACACCTTCACCCTTGACTCGGGTGCTTCCCGCTCCTTCTTTCGAGACTGCACCACTCTCACGCCGCTCAGTCGGCCCGTTGCAGTCTCCCTGGCGGACCCCTCTGGGGGTCCTGTCCTTGCCCACTACTCCACTGTCCTACCGTGTCCAGCGGTCCCGTCTGGCTCCCTGTCGGGTCTTTACCTCCCCTCGTTCTCTACGAACTTGGTGGCGGGTGCTGACCTACAGGATGGGGGGGTTGACCAGTTCACCCCTGCTCGTCAGCGGGTGACCCACTGCACGTGTGCAGACACGGGCCGACACTTGGCCACGTTTACCCGTCGGCCGGGGTCGAGCCTGTACACACTGACTACTGAGTCTCCTCCAGTCGCTGAGTCTGCTCAGGTAGCAGCGTCGGGTCAGGTGTTTGCTGCGGCGTCCAGGTCTGGCCCTGAGTCTGCCCCCTGCTCGTGTCGTCTCCTGTCCCACCGGACTCTCCTCTGGCACCACCGCCTTGGTCACCCCTCCCTGCCTCGTCTTCGAGGCATGGCTTCCCGTCTTCTTGTCTCTGGCCTCCCCCGGTCCCTCCCTCCCCTTCCTCCGGGGCCTGCCCCCACCTGCGTTCCCTGCGTCGAGGGGCGGCAGCGCGCTGCTCCTCACTCCTCCGAGTTTCCTCCGACAGAGGCTCCGCTGCAGACGCTTCACATGGACGTGTGGGGCCCCGCCCGCGTCCGTGGGCAGGGTCACGAGCGTTACTTCCTGCTGGTGGTTGACGACTACTCGCGTTACACCACAGTCTTCCCCTTGCGCAGCAAGGGTGACGTCACTGAGGTGTTGATCGCCTGGATCCGCGCAGCTCGTCTCCAGCTCCGGGAGAGTTTCGGCTCTGACTTTCCTGTTCTGCGTCTGCACTCCGACAGAGGCGGAGAGTTCTCCTCTGACCTTCTGCGGGCCTTCTGTCGTGCACGAGGCATCCGCCAGACCTTCACGCTTCCGGACTCTCCGCAGCAGAATGGGATTGCTGAGCGCCGCATTGGCATGATCATGGACGTCGCTCGTACGTCCATGGTCCATGCGGCTGCCCCCCATTTTTTGTGGCCGTTTGCGGTTCGGTACGCGGCGCATCAGATCAACCTTCACCCCCGGGTCTCCAGGCCGGAGACCTCCCCTGCTTTACTGTGGACGGGGAAGGTTGGCGATGCGTCTGCGTTCCGTGTCTGGGGATCTCGGGCGTTTGTCCGCGACTTGTCTGCGGACAAGCTGTCCTCTCGTGCTGTTCCCTGCGTCTTCCTTGGCTTCCCTCCTGACGCGCCAGGCTGGCAGTTCTACCACCCCACCTCGCGCCGTGTTCTGTCCTCCCAGGACGTCACCTTTGACGAGTCGGTTCCCTACTACCGTCTCTTCCCCTACCGCACTGCGTCCCTCCCTCCCCCGCCGCTCTTCCTTACGCCAGGTCCCCCTCCGGTAGACCCCCTCCCCCCTCAGGGTCCTGCTCCCTCAGGTGTGTCCCAGGTAGATGCAGTCGAGCCTGTCGAGGTAGCTGTTGACTCTGGTGCTGCGTCTGAGGGTGCTGAGCCTGGGGGTGCTGAGCCTGGGGGTGCTGGGTCTGGGGGTGATGCGATTGGGGGTGCTGAGCTTGGGGGTGCTGAGCCTGGGGGTGCTGCGCCTGGGGGTGCTGAGCCTGGGGGTGCTGAGCCTGGGGGTGCTGTGTCTCGGAGTACGGAGCCTGAGGGTGCTGGACCTGCTCGTGTGGCGTCTGGTGGTGCTGGGCCTGGCGGTTCTTCGGGTGCTTCGTCCCGGCGGGGGCTATTCTCTCCACAGGTTCTGCGTGAGTGGTTCGCCCGGCGCTGGCGGCGTGCTCCTGGAGCTGGAGCTGCTGCGTCTTCGGGTGGTCCGGCTGGAGCTGGAGCTACTGGGGGTGTTGGCGCTGGAGGTGCTACTGGCGCTGGTGCTGCTGAGGGTGCTGGAGTTGGCGCTGCTGGAGCTGGTGGTGCTACTGGTGCTCCTGGCGTTGGTGCTGCTGGTGCTCCTGGAGCTGGAGCTACTGGGGGTGTTGGCGCTGGAGGTGCTACTGGCGCTGGTGCTGCTGAGGGTGCTGGAGTTGGCGCTGCTGGAGCTGGTGGTGCTACTGGTGCTCCTGGCGTTGGTGCTGCTGGTGCTCCTGGAGCTGGAGCTACTGGGGGTGTTGGCGCTGGAGGTGCTACTGGCGCTGGTGCTGCTGAGGGTGCTGGAGTTCGAGCTGGTGGAGCTGGGGGTACTCCTGGTGCTGGTGCTCCCGTTGGGGGTGCTAGTGCTGTTCCTGCTGGCACTGGTGGCGCTACGCAACCACGGCCGTACTTCGTTCCGCTCCTTGAGCAGGTTCTTGGTCTTCCGTCCTCTCTTGGTCCTGCTCCTCCCTTAGCGTGTCCGCCTCCTGTCCAGTTTGAGTCCCAGTTACAGCCGGCCTCCCCGCTTCCTTCTCCTTCTCCCTACACTGGTCCTACTGGAGGTCTTGCTGAGCGTCGTGAGCCTGCGTCTCGCCCTGCGTCGCCTGTCCGTACTGCTCGCACTAGTGGTCGTGGTTTGCGTCAGCGTCCTCCCTCTGTTTTCGGCACGCACCGGATGTCTCTGCGTCCTTCCACTGCTCCGCTGCGTGCCCCTTTGCCCTCTCCTCCAGCGTCCTCTCTTCCTGAGCTTCCTGACCCTGAGTCGGACTCCCTTCGTGCTGCGCGTCCTACTGTCACACGTCTCCTTGCTACTGTCGTCACTGACCCTTCCTTTGAGTCTACTGCTGCGTCTGCCCTCGTTGCTGAGCTTGTCGACTTCGCTGCTCGCTGTCGCCTAGACTACGCTGCCAGTCTCGTCGCTGAGTCTGAGTCTGTCTGTCCTCCGTCCGTCGGGGGTGAGTGTGCTCTTGGCACGGACGTCCTTGAGGACAGACAGGAGGAGTTCCAGTGCTTGGCTGCTGCTTCACCTCATCTCGTGTCCATGCTGCTTGCCCCTGAGGGAGACCCGGATGCACTTGACATCCCGACTCCGTGCTCTTACGCGGAGGCGATAGAGGGTCCCTACTCCTCTCAGTGGCAGACAGCCATGGACGCAGAGATGGCATCCTGGAAGTCCACAGGCACCTACGTCGACGAGGTTCCCCCTCCTGGGGCGAACATCGTCGATGGCATGTGGATTTTCAGGGTGAAGCGGCCGCCAGGTTCTCCGCCTGTCTTCAAGGCTCGTTACGTTGCTAGAGGCTTCAGTCAGCGTCAGGGAGTTGATTTCTTCCAGACCTTCTCCCCCACCCCAAAGATGACCACTCTTCGGGTTCTGCTGCACGTTGCTGCTCAGCGTGACTACGAGCTTCACTCTCTTGACTTCAGCACTGCTTTCTTGCAGGGCAGCCTGCACAAGGAGATCTGGCTGCGCCGCCCACCTGGCTTCACTGGGACTTTTCCTCCTGGCACCCAGTGGAGCCTCCGGCGGCCAGTCTACGGTCTCCGCCAGGCGCCTCGTGAGTGGCACGACACACTGAGGACTACACTTGCGGCTCTTGGGTTTGCTCCTTCTACTGCCGACCCGTCGCTGTTTCTGCGCACCGACTCTTCCTTGCCGTCGTTCTACATCCTCGTGTACGTCGACGACTTGGTCTTTGCTACAGCTGACACTGCTGGACTTGCCTACGTGAAGTCCGAGCTGCAGAAGAGACACACGTGCACAGACCTGGGTGAACTGCGCAGCTACCTTGGCTTGCAGATCACCCGGGACAGAGCACAGCGCACCATTACCCTGACTCAGTCACACATGGTGCAGCAGGTCTTTCAGCGCTTCGGCTTCACGTACTCCTCGCCTCAGGCCACTCCTCTGCCTACACGCCACTCGCTCTCAGCTCTGCCTTCGGATGAGTCCGTAGAGTCAAGTGGCCCGTACCCAGAGCTAGTTGGCTGCCTCATGTACCTGATGACCTGCACTCGACCTGACCTTGCATACCCTCTTAGCATTCTTGCATGCTATGTTGCTCCTGGGAGACACAGACCAGAGCACATGGCTGCAGCGAAGAGGGTGTTGCGCTACTTGTGCAGTACGTCGGGCATGGGGCTTGTGCTTGGAGGGCAGAGTTCAGGTCCTCACTGGTCACGCAGACGCTTCTTGGGCTGATGACCAGGCTACGCAGCGGTCGTCACAGGGTTACACCTTCAGCCTTGGTTCCGGCTCTGTTTCGTGGCGGTCTACCCGCTCGTCTTCTGTTCTCGGCTCCAGTTGTGAGGCTGAGATCTACGCAGGGGCCATGGCTGCACAGGAGCTACGCTGGCTCACCTACCTGCTGACTGACCTGGGAGAGCCGCCTCGTTCTCCTCCAGTGCTGTACGTAGACAACAAGGCCATGCTGGCCTTGTGTCGGGAGCACAGACTGGAGCACAGAACGAAGCACATCGCTCTTCGCTACTTCCTTGCTCGTGAGCTGCAGCAGCGTGGTCAGCTGCGCCTTGCTTACGTGGCCTCTGAGGCCAACACTGCTGATATCTTCACTAAGGCACTCGCGCCTTGTGATCATCAGCGCTTCTGTACTCTGTTAGGTCTTGTGCCTACCTTGCCTCACTTGCTTACTTCTTGACCTTGCTTGTACTGTTACATATATATACCTGCCCTTGCTTGTTTAGCGTTATATATATGTAACCTTGCATGTGAACTGGCCTTGTGGCCTTGAACTTGTGCTCAGAATGTGTGGTGACATTGAGATCCACCCTGAGCTTGCTTTGCTTTGCTTGACTGGTCTTGTGACCCCTTGTCCTCCCCCACTTTGCCTATGGGGGTGTGTCAAACATTATGCCTGTTGTAGCTTTGTAGGCTACAGTGGGTTTAGCCTTAGAGGGTACAGAACTCTAGGGTTTCATATTTGTACTCTCATTCCTGTTAGTCATTCTCATTCTCGTTCTATTTTTCACAGCTTGCTCTTCAGATTCTCAAACTAGTCACGCTCCACCTACCTACTAGGTGAGAAGACCCTAGAACTAAGTTAGATGTTACATGCTAGACCTAAGCACATTCTTATTAGCTATGACGACCCATAAAATAGCTCGGTAGATGTTGCTCTTCTTGTTCGATGTTGATGTTTTGTCTAATTTATAAGCCTCGGCCATTTTACCTTAGCATCTAGATCGTTAAGTTGTTCCTAACTAGTGCTCCTCTCTTCTTGGTATGATCGTTTTTAATTTAATTTGGTTCCTTTCTTCCTTTCTTTCTTATCATCTTATACGTCTTTCCTTCAGTTCACCTGCTACCTGTGCGCCATCTACTTCGTATTTAAGAAGTGATGATGTAAGTACGTAATTGCTCGTTGTTTTACCACTCCTCTCTCATTCTCATCTTGTTCTTTCTCTTATTTTCAGTATGCTTCTTCTCATTCTTGTTTCCTTTCGTTTAGTGAGTAGTGTTTATGCTAGATTCTGTTGATGTTCTTTCTTGCATTCCCTCTACCTTCCTTGACCACATCCGTATTATCTCTCTCTCTTTCTCTCACTCCTCTGACTTTCCAGTTTTCTCTGCGTTTTTCTTCCCCTTCTCCTTCCTTCAACTGTAATTCTTTACGGTTCTCATCTCTATCCTTGGCTTTTGTAAATGGAATATTTAGCTAATCCTTTTTCGTATTAACGGCTGTGACATTATTCAGGGCTGCTAACAAAGCATGAGCATCATGTTCAGTCTCTTTGACGACGAAAATATTCGTGTAGAGTATCAATCTATTTACGAATTCTTGTTTCATATAAACTAACGCTTTGTTTTTACTAGTTGACGATATTACCATGTCAAACATATATGCTGCTTATTGTGTAGGCTGTAGTGGGGTAGCCCATATGGGGTACAACCCAGATTAGGGTTTCCTACTTGTACCCATCATGCTGCTAGTTCATTCATTCCTGCCTGTACTTTCTGACATGGTATCAGAGCAGTAGGTCCGTAGGACCGTTTTTTTTTTTTCGGGCCCACCTACCGTTGTGGTTACTGAGCTGCCCCACGTGTTGCCTGCGCTGCGCCGCCCGCGCGCGCCTTGCCTTGCCTGCGCTGCGCTGCCCGCGCGCGTCTTGCCTTGCCTGCGCTGCGCTGCCCGCGCGCGCCTTGCCTTGCCTGCACCTTGCCTTGCCTTGCCTGCGCCGCGCCTTGCCTTGCCTTGCCTGCGCTGCGCCGCCCGCGCGCACGCCCTGCCCTGCCCCGCGTTGCGCTGCCCCGCGCACGCCGTGCCCTGCCCCGCGTTGCGCTGCCCCGCGCACGCTCTGCTCTGCCTGGCGTCGCGCGCCCCTGCAGCCCGTCGCGTCGCCCGTCTGCCCTGCCTCTGCCCGTCGCGTCGCCCGTACGGGCTGTCCCAGCCCGTCGCGTCGCCCGTACGGGCTGCCTGCCCGTCGCGTCGCCCGTCCGCCTTGCAGCCCGCGCGTCGCGCCTCTGCTGCCCCGCGCGTCGCGCCCTACGGCAGCCCGCGCGCCGCGCTCTGCAGCCCCGCGCGTCGCGCTCTGCTGCAGCCCGCGCGTCGCGCCCTGCTGCCCTGCACGAAGCGCGCCCTGCTGCTCGCGCCGCCCAGGCCGAGCCGAGCCGCCCTACCCGACCCGATCCGCCCTCCTGCTCGTGCTACTACTGCTGCTGGTGGAGGTGCTGCTAGGAGTGCTGGAAGTGCTGTAGCCTAGCCTCACCGGGCCGCTCTACTGCTCTTACTGCTGTTGCTGCTGCTGTCTTCCCTCCGTACCGCCCTCCTCCTCGCACGCCTCCTTGCTTACCCGCTATGACTTCCCTTCGTAGTAGCGGTGGGAGTGGTGGCGGCGGCGGTGGCGGCAGTGGGAGTGGTGGCGGCGACCATAGTTGCAGTCGCGGTGGAGCTGTTCAGTGCGGAGTTTCTGGCGGTGGCGAGATCCAGCTGCAGCGGCGTCCGAGCGAGACCCTTCCACCCCAGCAGCTTCATGCGTGGTACGCTCAGCGTTGTGCGTCTCGGAGAGGTGGCGGCGGCCGTAGTAGCAGTCGTGGTGGAGCTGGTCAGTGCGGAGTCTCTGGCGGTGGCCAGATGCAGCTGCAGCGGTGCCCGCGCGAGACCCATACACCCCGGCAGCTGCATGAGTGGTACGCTCAGAGTTGGGGGTGTAGGACTACTGCTCGCTGCCCGTACGTTATTCGCACAGGTGATCGAGCTGGTCAGACTTGCGGGACAGTTGGTCACACAGAGTCTCGCTGCTTCTTGATGGAAAGCGCGCGAATCTGGAGAGCGTAACAAGAGATTAAGTCTGCCGACTTCGGCGAACCATTGCGTGCAGCTCACGTAACCTAAAACTATGAGCAGGTACGCGTTGGAAAGGTCTTAATCTCTACGTTACTGAATGATAAAGCACGCCTTCAACCAAGATCTAGGCCGATCGCTATCGCGATTTAAGTGCGACGGGGTATCCTGGCAGAATTACTTGGCAGCCATGGATTAGATCTAGGAATGGCTTAAGCAAGAGTTCAGATCTGAAAAGTGACGAGTTTGTCAAACCCTACCAACCCAACCCTCGCCCTACAACAATCCCCAACAACCCAAAATGCCAAACTAGCAACACCAAAGGTGTTGTAGTGAATAGCAAAGGTTTGTTGGTGCTTGTTGGGTGCGAGATCAATTCCAGCCCGCAACAAGTCTAACCACCACATTTTGCCCAAACCCTTAGCCCACAACCAGCTAGAGCAAAATACTACAACCACCTACACAATCAACACTCCCCCTTGCTCGTGCTGGAGGTGGCTGAACACCACTGGGCAAAATCCTTCACTCCACTCCCCCTTGCCCAGGGAGGGGCGCCATCCACAGCATGATGTCGTCAAGGCAAAGAAGCACCAGCCCTCCCACATCCTGCTCAGGCACCATGCCAACATGGGGCTGCATCCCCATCAAGGACATGCACACACCATGCCGCTCAAAGGGGAGGGGTTTGGTGAGCATGTCCGCTGCTTGACGGTTGGTTGGGCACCACCGGAGGATCACCTCGCCGCTTGCCACCATCTCCCTGATGAAATGCCACCGAACCTGCATGTGCTTGGTGCGGCCATGCAAGCATGCATTCTGTGCAAGGGCAATGGCAGACTGGTTGTCCACAAACACAGGCACACCACCAGCAAACTCATGCCCAAACTCCCCAAACAAACGCTTCAGCCACACACCCTCTTGAATGCACTGACACAGACTGATGTACTCACTCTCAGTGGTGGACAATGCAACCACCGGCTGCCTCTTGCTCTGCCAAGAGATGGCGGCACCATTGAGGCAATAGACATAGCCGGTGTGACTCTTGCGATCAGCTGAATCTCCAGCATAATCAGCATCACTAAAGCCCACCAACTCGACCTTAGGCTCAGTGTGCGCGGGGTAGAAGATACCTGACTTGACACAACCTTTCAGGTACCTTAGCACTCTCTTAGCAGCCTGCAGGTGAAATGCCTTGGGACAAGACACCACCTTGGACAGTTGTGACACTGCATAAGCAATCTCTGGCTGTGTGGTCGTGCTTGCATACATGAGAGACCCCACAATGCTTTGATAGAGCTGAACCAGCTCATCTCTCAGCAAGGGCTCCTCAGCATGTGCATGCACATCGAACCCTGTAGGGAGAGGGGTACGCACGGGGTTAGCCTCAGAAAGGCCAAAGGACTCAAGCATATTGAGAATGTACCTCTCTTGATGAATCAAGATGCCACTCTCATCACGCTCAATCTGCACCCCCAAATAGTATTTAGCCTCCCCCAGGTCCTTCATGCGGAAACGAGAGGACAAGAGACCCTTGACCTCGTCCAGCAAGACCATGCTCGAAGACAAGAGCAGAATGTCATCCACATAGAGGTAAAGGGACAACCTGCCCTCACGCCTCACCAAGTGGTACAAGGCGGGATCACACTCCGACCTCTCAAAACCAAAATCCATCAGCGCCTCATCAAACTTGAGGTACCACTGCCTTGGAGCTTGCTTTAGCCCATAGATTGACTTTCTGAGTCGGCAAACCCTGCCGGACCCATCATCAAAACCAGGGGGCTGCCTCATGTAAAGCTCCTCCTTCAAGACCCCGTGAAGATAGGCAGTGGTCACATCCATATGATGGATGTGAAACCCCGAAGATGCTGCCATCCCAAGGGAACCTCTCAGGGTAGTAGGTTTACCCACCGGGGTATATACCTGGTCATAGTGAACACCTCGTGTTTGAGTGTTCCCCATGGCCACCAACCTGGACTTAGGCCTCTCAATACTCCCATCAGCCATGTGTTTATACTTCCACACCCACTGACACCTCAAGACCTCCATTCCAGGTGGCACACAAGCTGGATCAACCAGCTCAAAGGACTCGTTCACCCTATGAGACTCAAGCTCCTCACGCATGGACTCGACCCACTCAGGACGGGACAAGGCCTCCTTGACCGACTTAGGCTCATGCACCTGACCCATGAGACAGAAATCAAGCCCAAGCTCACCCCTTTCAGCATCCACAAGCATGCACTCCTCCAAATCATGCACCTCATGATCATGCATGCAAGCATACTGTGCACTTGGTGTGAACCTTTCAGGTGGCCGGGAGATGCGTGTGGTGCGGCGCAGAGGTGATGCCTCCCCCTGCT